GTCTTATAAGAAAATGACTGAAAATGTCTCCTTGGTATAAAATATCAGTTGCCACTGACAGGTTTACTGCAGACAGATGCTGCCAAATAAGCAATAAAAGCTTTTTTTAAAGGGATGAGACAAAAGCGCATACTCCAAATGTCTTAAATTCCAGTTGTGAGTATGTAGCCAAAGCTTTCTGGTTGTGTCTGTGAGAGGAGAGAGGGAAGAGAATGAGGAGGTTGGTTTATCCCATGAATAAAGCATGACTTGAGAGTAAGAACACGAGTGGGACTGCCTGATGTGTGATTGTGAAGCCAGCTGGTAGGATCAGCAGGTTGGCTGGTTTACACAAGGTCACCATCAGGTGCTACAGCTGCTAGCATACTCACACATTATTATGTTAATATGTACTGTGCAGGTATATTAGCAAGAGCAAACAAAGATGTGTGTATAAACACACATAGTACAGCCTATACACAGACAAATAATGCATGCTAGCATTAAATACACGTGCGTTAAAAACATCAAGTACATACAAGCCTGACCATACATGTACATTTAAAGACTTAACACACAGTGCAAGTGTGCATGTGTGTTGAATTCAAATATGACAAGTCCTCACAAAAAAGAGAGTCTGAAACATGTTTGTGAAAGTGGACTGTTGCAGCTGACAGTCTCACGCTGCATACTGTATTGAGATTTTTGTGACCTTGTGTTATATTTAAAACACTCTGCTAATATTCCAACCTTTATTACCTCTGCCAAGGGTGGGGATTATGTTTTTGCCAGTATTTGTTGGTTTGTTTGTTTCTTAACAGCATAATTCAAAAAGTAATGAATGGCCCACAGAACAATCGATTACTGTGGATTTAGGCGCTGATCCGTATCATAATTTGGATACAGGAATATTTTAAAAAGATGAAACTGGTGATCTGTTCAGGGTGGACGCTGCCTCTCACCCAGTGTCAGTTGGGATAGGCTCCAGCACCCCCCGTGACCCTCTTCAGGATAAGCGGTATAGATAATGAATGGACGGATGGATTCACCATTGTGAGTGCTGGAAAGGACAAGGACTGTATGTGAGCCCCTTGTGGCCAAAGTGCATGGCTGCACTGCTGAGCACTCCAGACACACAGAGAGGCAAATTGCTGAGGTAGTGACAGCTGCCCATTCATTGTCAAACTGAGTCCTTCACTGAGTTCACCCCAGTGTGTGACACAGTGACCGAAGGAGCCCAGTGAGGCGACAGCCCAGAGCTGGGGAAAGATCAGCAATGTAGATTCAGTAATATCTAAAGATCACACACCTGTCAACAGATGCTGGTTGTTCCTTGTTCACAGAGGCTAGCTAGTAAAACATCTACTCTCAGGAAAATATGGTTTACTTAATCCCTGCTGACAAAAAAGTTGCACCCATGTGCAGATTTCAACAGTATTTCCCTTTATATTTACATCTCAGGCCTACTATACTTCATCCCCCCGTGTCCCATACTGAAGTTCATCTCAAGGGCTGAGTATCAGCACTAATCTGACTGTCACTTCCAACAAGTCTTTAATCATGCTTCACTGATCAATACGTTTCGTCTCGCTTGTCGCATTTTACTAAGGCAGGTTGTAAGTCATAATGATTGTGAATATCGAGCTTACACTAACTCCATACAGAACTGTCAATGTGAGTGTTGTACAAAAAAGCATGCAGCCACCCACACACAAAATATATTTAACACTGCGGTGACACTGACCATCATAGGTCCCACTCTCAAGTAGAAGTCCACTCTCCTCCAGGATCCTGAAGTCTCCAACACTGATGAAGTTGTAGTCCACACCCGGCACCTCTCCCTCTCGAGGAAGCCGTGTGGTGCCTGAACAAACAAAAGGAAAAATAAAATGCATGAATACACTGGTCCCAACACACTCTAGATAAGAAATGTAAGTGCATACATACGGTGCCGAGGCACTTTAATAGTCACACCTGTACGGTTGTATGCCATTCAGTGGAATACTTCCGCCTTAACATTTGTGTATATAAAGCTCAAAATGTTTCAATGTTTTTGGTGAAGTTGTCATAAATGTATATATTCAATGATATGCGTATTGTTGAGGTCATAATTAAAGGTGGTGTTGTACTGGACTACATTATATTTAAACCCACTCATGTATGAAGCTGAGGACAAAAATACAAAGACACCTCTGAATATAATGTAGTCCAGTTTGGCTGGGGCTCAAACTTGGAACCCTCTTACTGTGAGGCAACAGCACTAACCACTGCTCTACCATGCCACCCTGGGAACTTTTTTTTTTTTTTTTTTTTGCAATGTCTGTACAAGACTGTGTCTAGTTTTCAGAAGGGTGGATATCTCAGTTTAGAATGAAAACCCAAAAAGAACTTAGTGCGATCCTGTGAAAGATGGATGAACTGATGAAGGCTGGTGAAGCACTGAGGGCGTGTAATTCATCTAATCCTCTATGAGTAACTGCAGCTTCTGATAGCAAGTTATTATTTGGAGGTTCTGGATACGCGTTCTGGCTACAGCTGAAAAGAAGAAAACTGATGAATAAATTAGCAATGTGAAATACGAGTCCTACAGAGATCAATGTCAATGCAAATGGAATGAGTCCAGCTTTTGTTCCTGTGGAAAAGTCACAGTCTATTTCAGTCCTTATACAATACTGTTTTTTTTTCTGCCAGGATGAATATCCACAAGACACAAATGGACACCATATGATTACATTAGCATGAGGATTATGTAAACCATATTCCATGAATAAACAAGCAGGACTGTGCTAGTGTTGCACTCAAGGCTAATTAGATGGCATGTCACCAAACTTGTAAACTCCACAGAAGTTACCACAGCAGAACAGGAGGCAGGACAGCTGTTATTTTTTTGCACTGGAGGCTGAACAAAAGCACAGCATGAATCAATCTTCTGTGCCACATTCCATGGCAATCACTGTCACCTAAACCTACTGTCACCCATGGTTACGGATCAAAAACATTCATTCTGTTGGCGTGGTGAATCCTTTTCAGGGCAGACAGCGGGGTGAGAGTGGGATGAAGGCTGGAAACAACCCTGGCGGGCCACCAGTCCATCACAAAGTCTAACATACAATAAAGTCTCATTTATATTTAAATAAAAAGAGCAATTTAAAACATCAACTAATCCTTACTGCTGTCAGAGGAACTCAGAGTACAACATGAAACCCTGCAGTAAGATAGACAGGACATGTAAACAAATAAATAATACAAACTGTGAGATGAGTCAGAAGCAGACTACTATATGCCAGGGTTTAATGACTGAATATTCTTCCACACAGTCAAACTATATAGCCTTCACTCTACCTGTATAGTTTTGGAGTTTCATAATAATTATACATCAAACGCATATGCTGATCCATTCAAGAATAGCATATGCTGCCTTATATAGTATACTCTGGTACGTCTAAGATGGCATCTCATTCAAATATGTTGCGGCATTTTGACACTTGCGGAGTCTGTGCCAATTAACAGTGAAGCCATTCTACAGATTGTGGTGGCCCAATGGCCTATTAACAAACTTTATGTTGCTATTTGCTTTTGTTTTTTCACTCATATTTTCTCGCTAATTGGACTGTGAAAGCTTCCATGCACATGAGCGAACAAGTAAAACACAATTTGAAAAAAGAAGAAACATCAGAGAAGCCTCCTTCCACAGTGTGCCTTGATACCACAGCTTGTGTTACCAAATGCAGTTGACATTGCATCATGTGTTAAAATGCCAGCCTCCGCTGCTTCTCATTACCAACTCGTCTGCCTACTGGCGCAGGCTTTGGTCCCTCAAAAATGTCCCCTGTAGCCCAATTACTTGAGCCACAGTTATGTACCTGCCAAGTATCTCCCCGAGCCATCATTTTGGATGTCACACCGATATACCATAAACCTCCTATTGTGGATCAGCTGCTGACAATATAATGAGGGCTTGCTGAGCTTTGAGGGTACAGCCAAGTGAAAGCAGCAAATCTATTAAAGGAGAACTCTGTAACATCTTGTTGAACTTTCCTTTTCAGTACAGACACTGGCACTGGATATGCCTGCAAATAAACATTTGGAGGCTGCTCTTTCACACAAAATGATGTTTATTTTGAAAAAGGTGCAGTAGATACCCTGCATTTAATTAAATCAGACATGAGAGGAGTTTGGATGTAGAGAGGCTTTATCAAAGAAAAGAAAGATTTTCTGTTTGCATACAAAGTCATACATATTGCTAGTTAATACAGCAGGGAATATATTTGGAAAGCAGACCATGTTACATTAGGAATAGTTTCTCTTTTTAGGAAATACTCTCTTTTGCTTTCTTGCCAAGCGTTAGATGAGAGGATCAATACCACTCTCAGGTCTGAACAGTAAATATTGTATTTAACGATATCCAACAGCCATTTAGCTTAGCTTAGCATAAAGATTGGAAACAGGAGAAGTAGCCAGTGGGACTCTGTCCAAAGGAAACGAAATGTGCTTACCAGCAGTTCTAATTCTCACTAGTTAGCATGTTTTATCTTGGTAGCTTAATGATTAAACTTTTCAGCTTTTGTACAGAGTATCTGCACAAAAACTAAAAAGTACAAAAAAGCAAAACAAAGATTTGAGTTTTTGCACTGCAGTTTTAGTACAAAGTCACACTTCAGTTTTACACTTCAGTTTTAGTACAAATTAACTGAACGAGATGCAACGTTAATTAGTGAGCTTTAGAGGTGCTGTTAAATTTTGTTACTTTTGGACAGTTTCCCTGTTTCCAGTCTTAATGATAAGCTAAGCATCTGGCTGTAGCTTTGTATTTACCAGACAGCCATGAGAGTGGTGTCCACCCTCTCATCTAACTCTTGTCAAGGTGAATAAATGCATTTCTCAAAATGTCAAACCATTCTTTTAATTTTATGCCTGTGCATTGTGGTTAAAGCTATGTGTTTACACGTCTGTGTGTGTCTGTCTCTTCTGAACTGAAACAAATTGTCACTTTAGCTGTGCAAGGTCTCACGTCTGTGCACTTCAGAGACCTATTTTTTGAGCTGTCTGGAGTGAGAGGATGTCATGACAGGGACATCAGATGTAGTCACTCAGAAATGGTAGGCCATAAATTTAACATGGTGATTTTGTGCATAGTTTTATGTTGGTACTTTGGCTTGAGGCTTTGCTGTTGAAATGGCAAGAAAGAAAGTGAGGACAAGAGGAAAGAGGCTCATTACAAAACCAAAGTCTTTTGGCCTTTTTGTGAAGTGTTCATTTTTATCAGAAGACACTGAGGCAGCCAGCTTACTGTGCTGCTGTCATGTTGTGATATGGAGTATAGCTACTGTGTTAACAGAAATACAAAAGAGCTTATTTACAACCCTATAATCTTTTATGCTAAATACAATAATATTCAAACGAGGGACGAGAAGGAGGAGAATGAGCACATGAAAAAACAGGAATCAGCTTCTGGAACAGTTACAGCATCTCTGTAGACAGACAGACAGAAAGGTCACAGAGTACAGACGTTTACCAGTTCATGCCTACATTACTGAGCATGTGTAGCTGACCCAGTGCGGTCGGTGTGTGTGTGTGTGTGTGTGTGTGTGTGTGTGTGTGTGTGTGAGGTAGTATATGTGAGATCAAGCTCTTTCTTCCCATCTCTGCTCTCAGAGAGGAGTCGAGGGACTGTGTGTGACCCCAAGCTCTCCGGTCCTCTTAGAAAAATCCTCCTCCTTTTGTCCTCCCCAGAGCTCTCGATAGCCTCTTCCAGCAGCTTCGTAAGAGTCCAAATGAGATGGAGCCCTTCCCAAGATCCAGCGAAGGAGACTCAAAGGTTTACCACACACAGTGCTCCTCACATTTCTCTCCTGTTCCTCACAGCCAGTCTCTCTTCTTTCTTTTGAACATGAACTATTGTGTTTTGGCCTAAAGTGGAAACTAATACTTTCATCATTGCCCCAAGGTGCTGTGGCTCAGCAGGACAGGACAGCAGCAGTTTTCAAGAGTATGCAGTGTAGCTGGTAGTTAATTTAAGTAGACCACTGGCACAGTGACACAAACCATAAATCCACCCTCACATATGCTTTTTTAAATCATCAATTTATGATGTTCAGCACATTTAAGAAATAGTTTTGTGTTATAATTTGTAATTTTGTGACACCAACACTCTCTCAGCCTGCATCATGTATTTCTACCTTAAGTACTGGTTTCCAATAGGTGAGAAAATGGCTTCGCTAATTTCAGTGTACAACAGCAAAAAGATGACTGGAGTCTACATGTGCTGCATGTTTAGGGGGCTAGACTGCCAGAGAAGAATCGCTGCTGAAAGAGCAGGAGACAGAATGAGCCCAGGGAGTTGGGAAAAAGCAACAAGCAAGCCCATTACTCAACAAGCACCTTGTCTTTTGGCCTCATTGCACTGTGCTCCATCACTTGGCCAGAGAGCTGCACAAGTAAGTGTCACACAAAAGGGACCTGGAAATGCATTTGATGCTAAATTGTTCTTTACAATTGTTGAGAAAGGCACCCCCACACTGAAATGATGCACAAAAATAGAATCAGAATCAGAAAATATAGGTGATATTTGGATTTCAAGCTTTATATGTTGCGAATATTTGAATATTTTGGAGGATATATGAGTGTAGGTTAATGTAGTTTATGGTACGGCTCAATCTGGGAACTGACATCTATGTATGGTCCTTAAATACTTAACACTAATTGTAATCCTTTAACTAAAGGGCATGAGATTATTACAGTGGTTAAAAACATGATTTTTCTTTTCAAATTTTTCATTTTTATAATTGACTAGGTAAACAAAATCAACTCAGCAAAGTGGCAAACTGAAAGGAAAACAGAGTAAACCAAGATTAATAAAAGGCAGGCATGGGTAATTGAAACCAAGAAATGCAAACGTGAAACTGAGCAGGTGAAGGATAGGAGACTGGAAGCGAGCGAGTGAATGATGGAGGTGCTGTCACTGTGCCGGTCCTGGTCCCTTGCTCATTAAGATAGGAATTTGAGCAGGGGATTAGAGAGTCGTGCAGTGAGCTGGCTGGCTGCTGATGATGAATGGTGGCTATGGGTCACAAAACCTCAACGACCACCACTATTGTATATAAAAAAAAAATAGAAGGCCATGTTTGCAAATGTAGTTAGGGGTGTGTGTACAGCTGAATGTGGGGAACAGAAAGCAATGCAAGCAGGTGTGTGTGTGTGTCTGTACAAAATAACAAGCAGGTGAGAATGACAGGTTGACTTGTCCTTGGAGGAGAAATCTGATTGCATATATTTTGTAAAATTCTATAATCATCTACTGTAGGAGACCTGAGATGCTCCCAGTGCTACTAGGCTTTGAAAAATAAAACTGAATAACAATTCAACTGCTCAGGAAACAATAAAGATCATGCAAATCCCATCAGGACAACACAGTGTGACTTCCAGGGCTTGCAGTTGGAGAAGAAGAGATGGTGCTTGTTTGCGACAGTCCAGTGCTCAAGAGTCTGTCATCAGGAGCAGTTGCTCTGCATGTGACTAAAATCTAATTTATAAAAGACAGTTAATCTGTCTTTCTGTATTGAGAGGTATTTGCAGCATTGTATTTCTGTAACCCACACAAAACTTAATCAGGATATAAACTTGTACCTTTCTGTCCAGATAGCCTTATCACTGTAATTTTGATAATGGTCATATTTTCTTTTAAAAATTACAACATTTAAGCTTATAAAACCTCTTGACTAATCTAACATAAAGAAAAGATTGCAGTGGCATTAGGCTAAAAATGTCTCCCCGCCCCCCTCAGCTCCTTGAAAGTGACATTTTACATATGTAAGGTTTTTGTCTGCATGGCAAAAGCAAATTGCACCCTACTTATCTACTCCTACTACTGGTGACATTATGAAATATGTCCACTTTTTGCAATAATGCAGTATATTGCTCTACTATAATAAGCAGAGTGTAGATCAAAAGCTATTTTGCAATTTTGACAATTGAAAAATGCTGCAATCAATCGATTTTTCCATTAGATTTGAAATACTCCTACTCTCAACATATACACTTTCACTGCAGTGGTTCTTGGCAGTCCACGGTACCAGAATTTTTTATTTACCATTCTTTTACTAATTTCAGCAAAGAATATAAGCTGGTGGCAGCTCCGGTGAGCAAAAAGTCAGCCGAGGAAAGCAGAGCAGCAGAGGGACAACGCAGAGTTATTTATGGAAAGACTACGACTTTGATCACTGTGATGATATGGCTCAGAAGTAAATAAGTTACATGGGAGTTGGAGAGATGTCCTTGGTCAGGTTGCTATGGTGACAATGAAAGGTTTGTGTTTCGTGGAGTGTGTGACAGAGAATTGCGAGAAGATGACAGTGAGTGAGTGCATTAAGTATGTGTGTGTTGGTGAGTGTGGTGCAGCTTAACAGAAAGGCACACTAAGGCTAAGTTACCTGCTGAAGTGACCCAGATCTGATATTTTCACTGATTTGTGAACAAAACAAATCTGATTTTTTTTCAAATCACTCTGGTGTGGGGTCCTAGACCTGATTCATATCTGATCTATGACCATGTGACCTCTGTCAGAACAGTCAGATTGGATTTCAGGTGGGTTTTTTCAGCGTCTCATTCCTTTGCACATGCGCATATCACTTCTCGTCGTCATTCAGTGTCAGCCCCTCACAGGCTGGTAAAAATAAGCATGGAGGAGAGCAACAGTGATGGGGTTCAGTGGAGAGATAAGGACATTACAAATGTGTTGAACATTTATGGATAAGCTTTTGATCATGGCAAGCTGGAAGAAACATATTGTAACCAAGCATTTTTTGAGGAAATTGCACAATTTGACTGTCAAATAAATGACGTTGTTGTTATTCTTGTGAGCGTGTGGCTCACATTTCAATTAAATCTCCACTTGCACAGCAGTTTTGGACCTCAACGGTTGTTCACATGTAGAGTTAGATATGGTTGTGAACCTACAATAAAAAAAATATTGGAAATGAGCATTGAGGCCTGTAATATGAGCATCCTATAGTGTGGGATGTGTGATGCACACACAATATCCCTGTTGTTTCTATAGGATGCTACAGGTAAAAGCATTTATGCAATGAAAGTAGGATGCATTGTACTGCATATTCCTAGTTTGCTTTGTGCTTGCAGGTGCTTTTGAGTGCAGCGATAGGGAGCTACCTATGCGATTCTGTATGATGTACTTACAGGGAATGGTGCGTAGGTAGAGGTTGTCCCGTATGATCTGTTGGAGCTTGTGGTCCAGTGAGCCCTTCTGAAACTGCAGACTGAGGTAGTGGCGTAGGTCTGTGTTTAAAACTTTACCTGCAACAACAAAGGTAGAGGCAGGAAAGGTCAATAAAAACATGGTGGTGCTCTTTCTCTGAAGGCTTTAGGTCTAAAAGGAAATCTATCCAAGTGACATGTAGCTTCACAAAGTGATCAATACTACAGAATGAGATCAAATGTAACTTTCAGGTATTTTCACAAATATCGAGTGCTTGATATCATAAAATAGATTCTTTTTATGAGATTTAACTGTATTTTTATGTAATTCTATGCGGTCAGTTAAATTCAGTTGGGTACAGTATTCCTAGCGAGGCAATTACATTTAAAGCAGGGACAAACAATACTAATTCCAGACATTCAATGAAATATAGGCCACATAACACATACTGTACAAACAGGAATGTGAAGGCAGATGATCAAATTATTGACTGATCATGTGATACTGTATTCTATGAAAGTGCACAGGTCAGCAGTCAGCAGTTATCCAGTGTTAAACGCATCACAATTGTAATCAAAAATGTATTTCTCCAAGTACCAGTGCAGTTTTTCACAATGTGTGACACCTGGTTAAGCATAAGCACCGTTCAGACTGGACGAGGTCAAGTTAATGAAACCCTCCCAAAATCATTTGGATACATTCAAAAACAAGGTGGTCATTTTTAGCTCTTGGACAGAATAGATTTTTTTGTTAATAGTAACAGTACTGTACAGAGCATTACACATACAGCATATGCCTGTGTGTGCAGTATGTAGGCGCACCTGTTCTTTCCAGCTGATGGCTTAAATCCTTGTTGATTCTAGTTTGATTACTGAGGGGAGGTTGCAGCTAAGGGGGAGAGCAAAGGTTAAACTGGTTTTTAAACTCTGATCTCTTCTTTAAATCCACAATCATTAAGGGTGAATGGAGATTTAGGATACAAGAGAAGTTACAGAGGGACATTTGGCCAAGAAACACTTGAAAATGTGTTCCAAAGAGTGCAAAGCTGTACGTGAATGTTTGTCTGATTATTTTGCACAGTGAGTGAAGCTTGCTGGTTAATAATACTAAGAACAAACTGGACTGAGCTGAGTTTATCATCATCACTGCTTCTGTTCATCTAAAGCAACAAATCTGTAAGTGACAGATGACTGATGCTGTGATCATGATTGGATGTTTTTACCATTTCATCAATCTTAAACAACCCTCAAAAACTTTTCATGAAGAAGTGCAATGTCACAGTCTCAAAAGCGAAGCGCCGGAGAGTTCCATAAGAAATCCGAAAAGAATTCATCTTTGCTCTCAACTCCCAGAAACCTTTGTAAAAAAAAAAGAGGAAGTTCATGCAAAGTTTGAGGCAGAGGAAGACTTCAGAACCATTGTACACAAGCAGAGAAAAACTTTTCCTCTGAAAATGAAACATCTGCACATGATGAGGGGTTTGGAAAAGGATGAGATCTTCAGTGCCTGCCTACCCTCAGTTTCAGCGTGAGCCTCATCTCTTGACAGAAGTGGGAGAGAAGGCTTTGAAACAGTTTGACTACAGAGAACTAATCACTGGTTTCCCCTGTTCTCTCTCTTTCTCTTTCTCTCTCCCTCTCGCTCTCTGTTGTGCACACAGACCAAATTCTGCTCAGCATGATTCCTCTCTGCATCACTATGAATACCAACCAGCAGGACTAAAGCTGAGATGTTGCTACTGTAGATGTACTGTATGTGCTAATAGAGAGGGGAGATGTACTTGACAATGGAAGGATGACAGAATAATGATGAGCTCTGCGAATATTTCAGCAAGCTTTTTCAAACCTCAAATCCTCTTTTTCCTCCTCAACGTGTGAGAGACAAGAGCACAGGCCATTATTGTGACAGCACAGTGATCCTGTTATTTTGTGTTCTAAACTCTCTCCAAGTTTTGGAGGCTGTTGTTGACTCACATCAAAATGCCCCTCGTGCCCACAGGCCTCGCTGCCATCTGATGCTGTTTTAGGAGGAGCTGTCATCCCGGCAGGGCCTGGCTTTTCAGAATAAAGGTTCCATGTTCTCTGTCTGCCTCTCCAAAGCGGGCTGCATCACAGCTGGTCTAGCAGGCAAACAGACTGAGACTAGGGAGCCAAGGTCCAATCTGGCAGCTTCATCTCAACACTGTCCCAGAATATCTTTTTTGTTCAAACTCGGCTTGTGCACAAGGGAATTAATAGGGAAACAAGGCCATTTCAAAAAAACTACACGTACTCCATATGCTTCTGATGGCTAGTGACATACTGTAGCATCCAAATGAGGATTTAACAAAATAGAACAGTCCTGTCTTTAAGCGACAGCATGGAAACATTCTGGCAATTAAACCCACAATAAATATGACACATTTAACATCATATGTGAACATATGTGATGGAAGAAAGTATGGAAGCTTCATGTTTTGTTGTTTATGTGGCAACAAATATGGTCATTAATAGCAACAGTAAAAACAGGAAGTACAAGTTAAAATACATTTAAAAACCTTTTTCATTGCCTTTCTTAGCTTCTTGCATGGATGCAGAAGATTCAGCCTTAGTCAACTCACAAAATTCCAAATCCTGACTCATGACAAACCAAGGCAGAAAGGAAGAGACTGACAATGTGTCAGACAGTGTTGGAGTACTCGAGTCCAGTCCTGTCCAACTAGAGTCCTGCTTTATAATAATTTGGCACAAAGTACTGACAGTGGTTTTCACACAGCTCAGTTCTCAGTAGTTTGCCTGTGTGTGTGTGTGTGTGTGTGTGTGTGTGTGTGTGTGTGTGTGCATGCTTATGGGGCATTTTTTTGGTTACTGTGTCACACACAGTAAGTAAACTCCTTTTGAATTCTGAGAGCTGCATTAATTGTGTTTAATGTATACCTTGATGACTTTGAGTCAGATAACGAGGACTTGACTCAGAGTCTTTGGTAACACGGTCTTGACTCAAGCTTGAACACTGCGAATTAGAGACTTGACTTGGACTCGAGGTTTAGTGACTTCACTACAACACCGGAATCAAAAATTAGCCCTTGCCATACTAGCTGGTAAATTTTGGAACAATGTCCTTGGAATGACTTGATTAGATTTTTGTAAATATCTTTTAAAATAATATCTTTTAGGTTTTTTTTCTTTGCACTTCCTTCTTTTTTCTGTCTTCCAGTGCTAGGATTTATTTTAGCTTCTCGTCTTCTTTCAAAGCTTAATTCGGATCTAGAACCACTGATGTTGTGGGCCAGCTGAGCCGACTTCGCATCTGATTCTGGGCTTTACAGATAAACTTAACTTGACTAGTTTTTGATCTTTTCCTGCTCCCAAAATCTCCCTGAGCACGAGGCAAAGACATCAGATACTACTCTACATGTTGAACCCACAATTGCAGGCCAGAAACTGTACACGCGATGATGAAACTCTCTTTGATGATGAATGAATTGTAACATCTTCTTCCAGTAGTCAAGTGCTCTGTAACTCACACACATGCCTCAACAATCAGTAGCCAAGAGTCCTCAGCAGTACATAACTCTAGCTGTACAGTGAAACTAGCAGGTGGGAATGTAAATCACTGTGCAGTACGAGAGCAGAGCAAGCATGCTCGGTCATAAAAGGAAACAAAAAAAGCATGCACACAAGCAGAGAAACACACACACACACACACACACACACACACACACCTGTCAGAGACTGTTAGTGAGGACGTCACATCAGAGAGGCTCCTCATTCCTTCTCCCCTGCTTGGAACCTCAGTGGACTCTATTGTCCTTATCAGCCATTCACTCACTTCTATAGTAGGTTATTCCTCTATAGCCAGCCAGGAAAGGAACATACTATACACAGACTATCAACTTTTTTTTTATAGCTCACTTCACTATAGTGCAGTCAGTGTAATGACAGAAAATTGGCCCTAATTTATTTTTATTTTGTATTATATAACTAGCTGTATTTCCAGGCTTTTTCTAATTCGGATGGGAGTATTATAATCAAATTGATGGATTCCTTGAAATAAAGCTGTCACTTTAGACTCGGCGCATCCAAAGATCCTCTGCTACCTTGTCATTTTTGCATGAAGTGACTCAGTGGATGTGTCAGAAAAGAGCACAGTCACCCATGGGAATTCACCGCCGTGTTGCCATTTCACCTAGCATCAGCAGTATTCTCCTCTCAAAAACCGGAGGCTCAGACAAAATATCTGCAGAGACAGAAGCAGTGCCTGGCACCCCTAGTGAAGCGACAGACTGTTAACATCCTCACTTAGACCAACACCTCACTAAAAAGCCACAGAATTTGATTAACACTCCAAGCTCAAGACAGAACTCTCGCATACACAAGCACATGTCAAGCGTCTGTTTGAAGAGATCTGTAGTGTGAATTGCAAAATTCAACATCTTATTACATGAAAACGCAGTGAAAATGATTATGTAAGACTGACAACACATCAGAACAGAAAGACAAAACTCTTCCATCACTTACTTTAGTGCCGTTTTACTTCTAAATCAGTTTTCTGAATTCTGCAACTTATGGAGACAAGGTTGAAATGTGTTTTGAAATTATAACATCATTTTATCCTACAGGGACAAATCAATTTGAACTTTATTCATTAGTTCATTCAACTGCACATTCTAACCAGTTATTTAATCTGATGCAATCACTGGATTTATAAACTTTCTGATGAGACAAAACTGCACAAAATTACACTTACAGTATACCAACAACTTTTTTTTTTTTTTAAATTGCAACATGAAATAACAAATTTCCTGGACAAAGGACATAACATACAGGATGAGCTTTCTTTTCTTAGAGGTAAATGAAAAGACTGATAACATCACTCTTGAAACCTCCATCTGCATTTATCTTAGCACAAAGGGCAGAAATGTTGTGGGGGGTGGGGGGTGGGGGTCCCAAAATCTATCTCTCAGCACTTTTAAAGCTCCCCATTTAACACATTATAGGGCACACTTAAAAGGACTGCATTAAAATGGAAGTGAAAATAAGGCAGGAGAACAACAAGAACACATGGACAGTACAACAAACAGCTAAAATAATTAGGAATAAGACTGAAAGACACCTAC